CGGTGTCCCCGCGCGGCGCCGCCGACGCCGAGCTGTCCCCCAAGGCGTCCCCGTGCGGCGCCGAGCCCGGCTACGTCAACTACACGCGGCTGCGCTACGTGCTCGAGCCCGGCGAGCCCGGCGAGCCCGCCGACGGTGAGCGCCGCCCCGCCGTGTCCCCGCTGTGTCCCTGTGTCCCCCATCCTCACCATGTCCCCATGTCCCCCCCGTGTCCCCGCCGCGTCCCCACCATGTCCCCCATCCTCACCATGTCCCCATGTCTCTGCCATGTCCCCATGTCCCTACGTGTCCCCACTGCGTCCCCATGTCCGCCTATCCTCACCGTGTCTCCGTGTCCCCGCCGTGTCCCCGCTGTGTCCCTGTGTCCCCGCTGCGTCCCCATGTCCCCCATCCTCACCATGTCCCCATGTCTCTGCCGTGTCCCCATGTCCCTACGTGTCCCCACTGTGTCCCCATGTCCGCCTATCCTCACCGTGTCCCCATGTCCCCACCGTGTCCCCATGTCCCCACTGTGTCCCCGTGTCCCCTTATCCTCACCATGTCCCCATGTCTCTGCCGTGTCCCCATGTCCCCACCATGTCCCTGTGTCCCCGTGTCCCCACTGCGTCCCCATGTCCTCCATCCTTCCCATGTCCCCATGTCTCTGCCGTGTCCCCATGTCCCTACGTGTCCCCGCCGCGTCCCCATGTCCCCCATCCTCACCATGTCCCCATGTCTCTGCCATGTCCCCATGTCCCTACGTGTCCCCACTGCGTCCCCATGTCCCCTTATCCTCACCATGTCCCCATGTCTCTGCCGTGTCCCCATGTCCCCACCATGTCCCCGTGTCCCTACTGTGTCCCTCTGTCCCCATGTCTCCACTGCGTCCCCATGTCCCCCATCCTCACCATGTCCCCATGTCTCTGCCATGTCCCCGCATCCCCACTGTGTCCCGATATCCCCCTGTCCCCGCCGTGTCCCTGTGTCCCCGCTGTGTCCCCGTGTCCCTGTGTCCCTGCCGTGTCCCCATGTCCCCACCACATCCCGATGTCCCCATGCATACTGTGTCCCCACCGTGTCACCATGTCCCTGTGTCCCCACGTGTCCCCGTGTCCCCGTGTCCCCGTCCCCACGATGTCCCCGCTCTGTCCCCGCCGTGTCCCCTCAGCGCCCGGCCCTGCAGAGTACGAGGACGACAAGATCTCGCTGCCCTTCGTGGTGACCGACCTGCGCGGGCGCAGCCTGAAGCCGCTCAGGGAC